ACACACACACACTCACAGACGTTACACTCACACACACACGCACGTTACACTCACACTCACACACACACGCACGTTACACTCACACTCACACACACACTCACGTTACACTCACACACACACTCACGTTACACTCACACACACATTCACGTTACACTCAAACTCACACACTCACAAACACACTCACGTTACACTCACACACACACACTCACGTTACACTCACACTCACACACACTCACGTTACACTCACACACTCACGTTACACTCACACACACACTCACGTCACACTCTCACACACACACACTCACCATACACTCACACTCACACACACACACAACACACACACACACTCACGATACACTCACACTCACACACACACACTCACTTTACACTCACACACTCGCACACACACTCACGTTACACTCACACACTCGCACACACTCACGTTACACTCACACACACACACACACACACACGTTACACTCACTCTCACACACACACTCACACACACAGACTCACACACATTCATGTTACACTCACGTTACACTCACACTCCCACAAACACTCACGTTACACTCACACTCCCACAAACACTCACGTTACACTCACACTCCCACAAACACTCACGTTACACTCACACTCCCACAAACACTCACGTTACACTCACACTCCCACAAACACTCACGTTACACTCACACTCCCACAAACACTCACGTTACACTCACACTCCCACAAACACTCACGTTACACTCACACTCCCACAAACACTCACGTTACACTCACACTCCCACAAACACTCACGTTACACTCACACTCCCACAAACACTCACGTTACACTCACACTCCCACAAACACTCACGTTACACTCACACTCCCACAAACACTCACGTTACACTCACACTCCCACAAACACTCACGTTACACTCACACTCCCACAAACACTCACGTTACACTCACACTCCCACAAACACTCACGTTACACTCACACTCCCACAAACACTCACGTTACACTCACACTCCCACAAACACTCACGTTACACTCACACTCCCACAAACACTCACGTTACACTCACACTCCCACAAACACTCACGTTACACTCACACTCCCACAAACACTCACGTTACACTCACACTCCCACAAACACTCACGTTACACTCACACACACACTCATGTTACACTCACACACACTCACGTTACACTCACACTCAGACACACACTTACACATACATACTCACAGACACACACACACTTACACATACACTCATGTTACACTCACACACTCACACTACACACACACTCACACACACACTCACGTTACACTCACACTCACAGACACACACACACACACTCACGTTACACTCACACTCAGACAAACACTTACACATACACACTCAGACACACACACACTTACACATACACTCACGTTACACTCACACACTCACACTACACACACACTCACGTTACACTCACACTCAGACAAACACTTACACATACACACTCAGACACACACACACTTACACATACACTCACGTTACACTCACACACTCACACTACACACACACTCACGTTACACTCACACTCACAGACACACACACACTCACAGACACACACACACTCACAGACACACACACACACACACACACAGACTCACACACATTCATGTTACACTCACACACACTCACGTTACACTCACACTCAGACAAACACTTACACATACACACTCAGACACACACACACTTACACATACACTCACGTTACACTCACACACTCGCACACACACTCACGTTACACTCGCACACTCGCACACACACTCACGTTACACTCGCACACTCGCACACACACTCACGTTACACTCGCACACTCGCACACACACTCACGTTACACTCGCACACTCGCACACACACTCACGTTACACTCGCACACTCGCACACACACTCACGTTACACTCGCACACTCGCACACACACTCACGTTACACTCGCACACTCGCACACACACTCACGTTACACTCGCACACTCGCACACACACTCACGTTACACTCGCACACTCGCACACACACTCACGTTACACTCGCACACTCGCACACACACTCACGTTACACTCGCACACTCGCACACACACTCACGTTACACTCGCACACTCGCACACACACTCACGTTACACTCGCACACTCGCACACACACTCACGTTACACTCGCACACTCGCACACACACTCACGTTACACTCGCACACTCGCACACACACTCACGTTACACTCGCACACTCGCACACACACTCACGTTACACTCGCACACTCGCACACACACTCACGTTACACTCGCACACTCGCACACACACTCACGTTACACTCGCACACTCGCACACACACTCACGTTACACTCGCACACTCGCACACACACTCACGTTACACTCGCACACTCGCACACACACTCACGTTACACTCGCACACTCGCACACACACTCACGTTACACTCGCACACTCGCACACACACTCACGTTACACTCGCACACTCGCACACACACTCACGTTACACTCGCACACTCGCACACACACTCACGTTACACTCGCACACTCGCACACACACTCACGTTACACTCGCACACTCGCACACACACTCACGTTACACTCGCACACTCGCACACACACTCACGTTACACTCGCACACTCGCACACACACTCACGTTACACTCGCACACTCGCACACACACTCACGTTACACTCGCACACTCGCACACACACTCACGTTACACTCGCACACTCGCACACACACTCACGTTACACTCGCACACTCGCACACACACTCACGTTACACTCGCACACTCGCACACACACTCACGTTACACTCGCACACTCGCACACACACTCACGTTACACTCGCACACTCGCACACACACTCACGTTACACTCGCACACTCGCACACACACTCACGTTACACTCGCACACTCGCACACACACTCACGTTACACTCGCACACTCGCACACACACTCACGTTACACTCGCACACTCGCACACACACTCACGTTACACTCGCACACTCGCACACACACTCACGTTACACTCGCACACTCGCACACACACTCACGTTACACTCGCACACTCGCACACACACTCACGTTACACTCGCACACTCGCACACACACTCACGTTACACTCGCACACTCGCACACACACTCACGTTACACTCGCACACTCGCACACACACTCACGTTACACTCGCACACTCGCACACACACTCACGTTACACTCGCACACTCGCACACACACTCACGTTACACTCGCACACTCGCACACACACTCACGTTACACTCGCACACTCGCACACACACTCACGTTACACTCGCACACTCGCACACACACTCACGTTACACTCGCACACTCGCACACACACTCACGTTACACTCGCACACTCGCACACACACTCACGTTACACTCGCACACTCGCACACACACTCACGTTACACTCGCACACTCGCACACACACTCACGTTACACTCGCACACTCGCACACACACTCACGTTACACTCGCACACTCGCACACACACTCACGTTACACTCGCACACTCGCACACACACTCACGTTACACTCGCACACTCGCACACACACTCACGTTACACTCGCACACTCGCACACACACTCACGTTACACTCGCACACTCGCACACACACTCACGTTACACTCGCACACTCGCACACACACTCACGTTACACTCGCACACTCGCACACACACTCACGTTACACTCGCACACTCGCACACACACTCACGTTACACTCGCACACTCGCACACACACTCACGTTACACTCGCACACTCGCACACACACTCACGTTACACTCGCACACTCGCACACACACTCACGTTACACTCGCACACTCGCACACACACTCACGTTACACTCGCACACTCGCACACACACTCACGTTACACTCGCACACTCGCACACACACTCACGTTACACTCGCACACTCGCACACACACTCACGTTACACTCGCACACTCGCACACACACTCACGTTACACTCGCACACTCGCACACACACTCACGTTACACTCGCACACTCGCACACACACTCACGTTACACTCGCACACTCGCACACACACTCACGTTACACTCGCACACTCGCACACACACTCACGTTACACTCGCACACTCGCACACACACTCACGTTACACTCTCACACACACACTCACACACACACACACACACACAGACTCACACACATTCATGTTACACTCACCCTCACACACTCACGTTACACTCACACTCACACACTCACAGACAGACAGACAGACAGACAGACACACACACTCACAGACAGACAGACAGACACACACACACTCACACACACAGACACATGCTTCCTGTCTAACGAACAACGATATAAATGACTATATGCTCACAAAGAATATGGATTATTATCTGAACGTCTTCAGCGGCTCACGTCAGGACGTCGTTTGGTGTTTTCTGCTGCAGTTTCTTGCCGAGTCCAAAGCCAAAGAAGCAGACGGCGAACATGGGCGTGACTCCGATGATGGGCGCCGCCATGCCCTTATACAGCCCCAGAAGACCCTGAGACACACACACACACACACACACACACACACACACAGGTCAGTCCAGCCGTCTGCGGTCAGCAGCGACAGCAGAGAGTCCTCGTACCTCTTTCGCCAGTGTTTTCTTGAAGCAGTCGAGCGTCCCGCGGTACAGCGCAGACTCTCCTGGACCGGGTTTGGGCTGCGTCTGCAGTCGCACCTGCGCATGACGGTCACATGACAGCTCAATAACACACTACTGACCACACAAACACATCCAGGTCAAAGGTCAGAAGTCCAGGGTTTGTCTCAAAAATGTGTCTAAACATTGCTTGCAGCGTGAAAAAATGACCACTTTTCATCTGAAAGTGAAAATGTATGCAAGTAAAATGAAACCAGAGTCGTATTTATGTTGTTTTGACATAGCTTCATGTTTTTGAGCAATCATGAGTAATAAATGGGGTAATTACAGGTAATTCTCATATTAGATGTTCTTATAAATGACATATTCCAAACAAACCTCGTCAATATCTATTATAAAACTTTCTAAATGTGTTAATAAATAAAAAAAGTTAAATGAATGCAGTATAAACATGGTAACATTCAAAACATTGACTTTTGTAATGCGAAGTTGCTGATCAGACAGCTGAAACTATTAAGTTATGACTCTTCAGGTCCAAACGACTGAGAAACAGCACAGTTTCTGAAGCATTACGAACAATAATAGCGAGCATGACACAAATGATCAGCTGTCAGTGTGTTTACTTTGATGGTGTCGAGCGGGTGTCCGGCGAACACTAAACAAACCCCGCCGAACCCTCCTGCGAAGAAGTTCTTCAGCGGGCTGATGTGCTGCGGCTGCTTCGACATGCTTCAGGAGAATAATCACACAATCACACTGACACACTGACACACCGACACACGCGTTCTGCGACCTTTCACACACAAACACACCCGGAACTATTTCACCGACGCACATCCCGGATCGAGTTCGGAGGTGGGCGGGGCTTCAATAATAGTTCTCTTATTATCTATGGAATAACTGTATAGTTTTTATTTTTAATTCTATGTCTATTAACAGTCAGTCTCGGTCATTATTCAGGTCGTTGTGTGATTTGAATGGAGTCTCTGAGCCGCTGCTGAAAGAACACGTGACTCTTCAGAGAAACAGCCGCGGCGCGTCGCTTTAAACCGTCCGGGTGGAAACTCACGAGCTGTAAAACTTACAACAAAATGCAAATCATGAAACCTAAATTATTTTATACGCAATATCTCATAAGCTAACCGTTTTCGTCACGGAATAAAATAAATAAATAATATAACTGCGACTTTTTTCTCAGTTCTGTTAAAATCGCAAGATATAAACTCGAAATTCTGATGGGAATTGTGAGATAAAAACGTGCAATTGCCTTTTTATTATTATTATTATCCCGTTTTGAGGGGAAAAAAAGTCAGAATTCTGTTTACATCTCGCAGTTTTTCTCAGAATTGCTGAAATGTGAGATGTGTTTGTGGAAGAAACAAGCAATATGTTTCAAAAAAACAAAACAGACACTTATTTTAGGTGCATTAGGATGGCAGCATTTTATTAGTCTTTCAACGTTAAGAAAATATATTGTTACCGTTTCCCTTCTGAACAACAACATGAGGAAAAATAGATAATTTCGCACAAAGCTGCATCAGACGTGATCAGCACAAACACAGATCTGCATTAATACTGTAAAGATCATATTCCCCTCACTGCTGAAGGATGGCGGGGCTACTCAGAGGTCAAGGGTTACAGTTCAGTGAATCAGCTGGGAAACAGAGAGAACGTGTGTGATCTGGCGAGTGTTAAGACTAACACACTCTACACACTCAGTCTCTATAGATCTGAGGGAACTCCTGGCGGATCTGCTGCACGATGAGTTTGTCCATCTGTCTGCTGGAGCCCGGATCCTCCCCACAGTCCTCCTCTTCTCCCAGGATCCTCTGCAGCGCCACCTGCAGGTCGCTCAGCCGGTGCCGGTGCTCCAGATAGTCAGTGGAGCGCATGAGAGCCAGCATGAGAGACAGATACTCCATCCGCATCTGAGGAGACACACACACAGTGTAGGTATAGTTGCTGCAGTTGTTATAGTTATAGTTATAGTGTGTGGAGAGTGTCTCACTCTGTCACCGGGCGACAGGTCTGAGATCTGTCTCACTGCGATGTCGATCATCACCATCAGGTCGCTGCGGTAGAAGATATCAGCCGTGTCTCGACTGGAGAACACATCCTGCAGGAACTTGAGCACTGAGTGCGGCGCAGGAGGAGCGTGATCGAACACACACACTGGATCCTCTACACACACACACAAACACACGCGCATCACTGCGGCAGCTCTACTGTGTGTGTGTGTGTGTGTGTGTTAGGGGGTTAGTGTGTGTGTGTGTGTGTGTGTGTGAGAGAGTGTGTGTGTGTTAGGGTTAGTGTATGTGTGTTAGGGTTAGTGTGTGTGAGAGAGTGTGTGTTAGGGTTAGTGTGTGTGTGTGTGTGTGTGTGTTAGGGTTAGTGTGTGTGAGAGAGTGTGTGTGTGTGTTAGGGTTAGTGTGTGTGTGTGTGTGTGTGTGAGAGAGTGTGTGTGTGTTAGGG